TATCAGAATAAGTAAGTTCAAAGTCACCATCACTCAAAAGGAAAGACTGAAGCTCGATTTTTAAAGTAGATGACTATCTCCTGGACACCTAAAGGCTTTGAATCCCATTCTATTTTTGGAAACTGCGAGAAATGCAGGACAGTATGAGGTCTTTAAGATATAACTGACCTGATCATTCAGGAAGAATGCATCTTCCTGGATTTTAAATTTAATTTGAGAGTAAGTCAGTAAAGAGAAGCTCATATGGGAGAAATATGAGCTTTCTTTTTAGTTCCTGTTAATATTCTCCCTGCTCTGCTATTATAAAATGGCAATACTACCTTATTATTATTAAGGAGTTCCTATTACTGAATGGTCCTATTAACGATTGTCATTGGCTTCACTCTGAGAGTCACCACTAAGCAGCATATTAATGATGCTACATTTGTGCACATTAATTGATACAATGTGGTCAAATGTCTGTTGTGATCAGTGCTGGGGTCGTCATGTGTTACACACATTACACAACACTGTTCTTCAAAGTTATGCAGTGTGTTACTTAATTACTACCAGGAGAAAATAATTAATTGTGCTGCTTGTTATAATAGTGTTGCATTTCTCCATAAATGGTAAATGGTAAATGGTAAATGGCCTGTATTTGTATAGCGCTTTTACTAGTCCCCCCTAGGGACCCCAAAGCGCTTTTACACGTCCAGTCATCCACCCATTCACTCTCACATTCACACACTGGTGGAGGCAGCTACAGTTGTAGCCACAGCTGCCCTGGGGCAGACTGACAGAAGCGAGGCTGCCATATCGCGCCATCGGCCCTTCTGGCCAACACCAGTAGGCGGTAGGTGAAGTGTCTTGCCCAAGGACACAACGACCGAGACTGTCCGAGCCGGGGCTCGAACCGGCAACCTTCCGATTACAAGGCGAACTCCCAACTCTTGAGCCACGATCGCATAAGATGACCTGAAACACATTAAATCCAAGGCTACAGTCCTACACAACAGCCCTGCCCTAATGAGGACACACACGTGATTTTTCTCTCAGTATTTAGGTACAAACACAAAGCTGAAAACACAAAGCAAAGATGAAAATCAGAACAAACTTTATCACCACAGTGACTCTACCTTAGAAAGAAGAACAGGTCGAAACAGAGGCTGCAGTCCAACTGCTCACCTGTTTGTTACCTGTTGAAGTTCAGGCTGCTGGGGTAGCATTCGCCCACTCTAACATCACTTGGCTAGCTTAGCATTAGCATGGCGTCTGTGCAGATAGATGCAGCTTGCACTTTACCGTCGCGTTCTCGTCCTTTTATGTAGTAAAAGTAACGTCCATATCCATGCTGTAGACTGCAACACGCAGACTGAAACCAGCTGATTGTAGCTCGAGTGCATGTCACACTGATAAGCAGACTAACTATTAACCCGAACTGAACTACTGCGACTCAGCTCTCTGCAAAACTGAGTCCCATCCCTACTGTTTGTACAAGATATTTGGACATTATTAGTGTTTTAGCAGGAATAACTCACTATTTACCACAGACGTCATTATTTTCTTATTGCTGATCAAGCACCTCTGTGCTGTCAGATGAAAGCAACACCATACAGCACACAAAAAATTACGAATAATATGTAATTATTATCAAGTTGACCTATTCATGTTGGTGCCAGGACACCACTCTGGATTGTTTGGGCCCATCCTGAGCCCTGGTGATATTTCGCAGTACAATAGTTGCTTTGCAGGCTGTAACGTTGCACTGTGACAGGCCAACAACACCATTTATAAGATCATGTTGGCAGTTGTTTTACACTGAAGTAGTTTAATGTATAATATGCAACAGTCCATGTTTGTGGGCATTTCTGTTCTTCTGAACTCTCCATACAGAGTTTTGTGTAAAAACTGATCATTTCCTACAAACGTGGCTGTGACATCATAACAGATGAGAGTAGCAACTGAGTGCCAGCACGGGAAAAAGCTGTCACAGCATCATCAGAAAGGATGCCTCTCACTGGAAGCTAGTTAGGAAAGATTTACATTTCTTAGAAAAACCTGCTGTGTTCACATTGGTTATTGATGTTTTTGTGTAGCCACACATGAAACATGGAGGAGCGTTCAGCTCTGCCCACTGCTCGGCTGTTGAATCAAACTCACGTCTTGCTATCAAGTGCACTTAGCCTCTCGTCACCATTTAAAGTTTATCACAGGCAACTCTTCATGACACCAGCGCAGCCGCGACTCTGACATGGTTCCACTTCCTCAGGGTCATGACCACAGCAGCGGTGCCAACAACCTGCTTATCAGTATCTTAGCCTCGCGCTTTGAGCACATATCACATGGGTTCAAATGTGTTGAGTCCCTGGCTTGATTACTGGGTGGCCCTATGATTTGCCGCGTTTCATTACCATGCTTTATTTACCAACAGTAATCCCACTGGTTTAAATGGTTTTGGCTTACTTTACTTTCCATTGGCAGTTTTTAATGGCTCCATGCAAAAACACCTCTGGACACACTCGCAGAGAAGAAGCGACACAGTGATGAGCAGTGAAACACAGTGATACAGCAGCAAACAGAGCGATCGTGTAGAAATGACAGCACACACGATGCTAGTTGGCTGGTGTGGTTTGAGGTGAGTTGGAAATGTTCCTGGAGAGGAGAAGGAGTCCAGATTGTGAAGTGAGAAGCAACAGAACCATTAGACACGAGATGATGGACCATGCAGACAGCATGCAGGATGTTATGTAAGTCTGTCTAAGCAGTGGGCGGGGTGAGGACAAACAAATACACACATGCCTATCACCACTGATAGCTTGTGCTGCACGAGGGATGTTTGCTTGGATCTGAAAAGGAACAGGCTGAAAAATCATGTTTTCAGAGCTGTGAGGGATCACTGCAGAAGCAGCAGAGTTATATCTGCTTCTCTCAGTTACAGGACAGCTTCCTTCTGTATTCATCTTAATTTTCTACAAACACCAGAGGTCTTTAAAAATCTGGGATTATGATTGGATACATTATTATAGATGTTCTATTATTTACTGTAGATAGTGCCATGCAAAAGTATTCGACCTCTTTCTGATTCCTTAGTTTGTTGCATATTTATCACACATGACTCAGATGAAACAAATTTTAATAAGATAACATTGTTGGTTTTTAATAATGATTTAACTGTAAGATTAAACATATCAGATGGACTTTGAATAGGCCACTAAAAAACCTGTTTCTGAAAAACTATTCAGAGGAAGAGACTCTGTGTGTGCTGCTGCAGGACATGAGTGAGCAAACTGTCCTAGAATTCATGGTTCCACTAATTACATCCAGATCCTGAAGCATGAAAGCAACCCCCGACCATCACACCACCCTGTTGGACTGTTGGTGTGATGTTCCTGTTATGAAATGCTGTCTTAGTCTTACATCAGCAGTGATGTCCACAGACTATTTCCTCCAAAAATAATCAAACATCATCGTGAGATGAGCCGGCGTTTCTCCTGGAAACCGCCCGTCGGTGCCGTTTCGCCGTCTCTTTCTTATTGTTGAATCACAAGCTTTGACATTAAAGGGGTGTGGCTAAGGAAATTAATAATAATAATGGATTGGATTTATATAGCGCTTTTCAAGGCACCCAAAGCGCTTTACAATTCCACTATTCATTCACTCTCACATTCACACACTGGTGGAGGCAGCTACAGGTGTAGCCACAGCTGCCTTTAACAAATTGGGGCATAGGGCTGTTCGATATAACGATATATATCGGATGACGATATAAAAATTAATTATAAAAACGATTGTTTATTTTCCACATAAACCTTTCACAATAAAGCTCAAGATCCTGTTGAGACTTTTCAAAATAAACTGAATCACGTTCAAGATTATTTACAGATGAGAAGTAAAAAAGACGCCAGGTGCTAAAAAATAAACCTTAGACTCAAACGTTAGAACAGGCTTTTCCCCGCAGCACGCCGTGTAATAAATACTCACAAAGAAATGGCGGCGTTACAACTTATGTCTAAAAATGTATCGTTTCATGCATCGGTATGATAGATACACGAGATCCAGATACACGACGCGCAGCTGGAAACACTTTAGCTGCCCGAGATTCACAGAATTTACAGAAAATGTTACATGTTTGTGATTTATATCGTTATCGGACGATAGATGTCTTATATCGAGATATGAGATTTTGGTCATATCGCACAGCCCTATTGGGGCAATTACTTTTTTTAATACACAGGACCAGGTGGGTTTTTTAAATCATCATTTAAAAACTGCATTTTAAATTTGTCTAATATTAAATTTATTTGATGATCTGAAACATGAAAGTTTGAGAAATGTGCAAAAAAGTGAAAATGCTTTTCACTGTATTGTCTAGTATCATTTCTGAAGCACTGCCTTTTGTTATGTGAATAGTGTAGCAAGAGAACAGTACAGAACAGTGAATAAGAGGAAACATCTCTCACAGCTTCAGGTTGCTTATTGTGTCTGATAAAACATGTAGTTGATTCAATGAGCTGTCAGTTTATCCCTGTGCATGAGCAGATCTGCTGCTTTTGGTAATATTTATTGCGTGTACTGAGAGGCTGCTGTGGAGGAGATTAAAAGAGCCACAAGACTGATAAGACTGCTGAAGCTGAAGCTGAAACGTGAAACGTGAAACTTGTTAATGTACAGACTGTGAACACTAGTGTGACAGTGCAGGTATATACTTGTACTTGCATTTTCTGGCAGTGGCTAATTTAACCCATTACGATTGTTCAGTTCACTGAAATCTGCTGTAGTAGGACTATGAGTGCATGTGCAAACTGACATGTCACATGAATGCAGGCTTGTGAAGGGCACATCAGTGTAGGGCTCATTTGTTTCATCAACTGAAACTCGCTGGCTTTCATACAGAACACAAACAACACCAAGCTGTGAATGATGGTTCGCTGTCAGCCAAACCAGTGACGATGAGTCAAGACTTATTTCAGCTGTCATTAAGCGCACACCGTCTGATTAAAGAGTAAGGGAAGCTGCTTTACCTTCCATGTCATTGATGCTTCGCAGCAGCTCGTCAGTGTCCAGCGGTTTGTCATCAGTTAACACGTAGCTTTCAATGTTATAGTTGCTCATCAGATGGTATACTCCTTCTAACGTGAAGTAACAGTTCCGCTGCTCCCGGTCGTCCTCGAAGACCAGCAGAGCGCTCTTCCAGGAGAAGTGTTCAAACATCGCCGTGAAAGTCTCTGCCATTTTCACGTACGGCGGGGCGATGCGAGTCAGGTGGGAGTATTCTTTGTTCTTGTTCGCGAAACCTGTGGCCAGGGCACCTGCCGAGATCACCGGGATGTTCCAGTGGGACGCCAGCCTTACCACTGCCGCAGCCTCGTACTCGCACACGGGACCCAGGATCAGGTCGGGCTTCTGTCCGCAGGACCTGTCCGCTAATGTGAAGAAAGCATCATAGAGGCAGTCGGAGTTTTCAAACTGGATGTTGAAGTTGAACCCGGAGTACCGACCCCCGTCTGCCTTCAGCCTCTTTTGCGCGTAACGGATCGCCGGTGCGACTCGTTCATATGAAAAAAGATAAGAATTATTTTGTGGCAAAAATACCAAAACATCTAAGTCCTCGGTGGTGTTTGTCATAACTGGGCTCAGGGCTACCAAGAAATAGACACATAGTGTTCTCAAATGTGGCATGGTAGCACTTCCTCTTCAACACAGACAGCCAAAGACTTTTAGAGAAATATTCTTCCAATGTTCCTTCCCTCAAGTTGGCTCTCGGCAGCGCACATAGAGCTGCAAACAGAAAGCCCTCTGTCGTTAGTAAATGCCTTAATACTAAATAACTGTATTTGTCTTTTGGAGAAGCCAATCTACCAGAATGGGTGTGTTTTATTCTGCATTTAGAGTCGCTTCCCAAGCTCCTGAACCTGTTCAAACTATTTTCTCAACAGTTGATCGTGCCAGGCTCGGAAATTCTTCCAGCTCAGTCAACAGCCATCATACACGCTGGCTCCGGCCTGGAGTTTAGAAGCGTCTTTTCAGGATTATTCATGCGTCATCGGAGCGCTGCCCACCTCCTTCTTAAAGCTACACCGCTCCCGAGCGCACAATGAGCCACTTCAACGTAGCGTGACTTAATGCGCTCCAGTTAATGCAGATGACGCTCTTTACTTTTTGTTGATCCATCTGTGACACAGCTATAGATCATTTATTTAGACAGGGTTTAATTAACAACAACACAAGCCAAACTGCAGGTGTGCATGGACTCTGCAGTAACCAACATCTCTGTATAGACATTTTCAGCATTAGTAGCAAATAAGTCGAAAGACTGGTGGGAAAATGTGACCAAAAATTTAAATTGTGATGTTGATGGTATACAAACGATTTCAATGAAGTTCTTTATTTTTTTAAACCTTGGGAGTGAACTGGCAAATAAATCATTTTAAGCTCAGCAGTGCATGCTGACACTGCTGACAGGCCTCTGGCAAAAACACCATAAACAACAGTATAAACGACATATTACAAGTCATGTCTGTGAGAAACAGGAAGAAACCCAGCAAAGATCTGAGAGATGCATCTGACCCTCCAGTGGATCCATCTAACGTCACTGAGGCCTCATCAGAAATGGTCCCAGTCAAGTTTTAGTCTCATAAATCAGTCACTGTGACCTATGGTGCAACACAGAAAAACACCAATCTCTGGGATGTAAAGTTCCTATACTGTAAGCTACTGTCAAATGTCCCCCATCACAGAAGTACATCCGTTTTAGCAACCTTTCTGAGAATATTCATTCAAGTTGTGGAACTGGATAAATGTGTAAAGTGCAGTAAACGTGTTCATACGAAAAAAAAGAAAAAGAAAAAAAGAAATGGTCCCAGTCAAAGTGTGGTTGTCAAGAAGCCATTGATGCAGGGAGGAAAGGCTGAGGTGTGCCAAATTACTGCAGAGCAAGAAAAAACCAGATAAGGACAAACATAAAGCAGAGATGTGTTTCTGTCAGAGGGGTTAATGTGTGGAAGAGTTATGACCGTGATTTAAAAAGGTGTAGTTCATTTTCCTTGTTTAAAAATAGAGTATTAGAAAAATATATAAATCAAGAAAAGAGCCATAATAATAACACTGAAACTCTTGGTTGTTTTGCTTTGATTATTGTTATGAAATGTAATTTATTATCTAAGTTTTTTGTTTTGATTTTTGTTTGTTTTACTCTTGTGCTTCGAGCCCTGTGTTAGCTGCGCGCTAAACGAGCTTTTGTTAAAAGGCTTGGCGTAATAAGCATCCTTTGATTAGCCTTGCCTCGTGCGTTCATGCTTTGTGGTAGATCTTAATTCTGTATTCATTGAGCTATTTGAATGCTAATCAAATAAAAATACATTTTAAATGTATGGATGGTGAATCCAGATTAGCCTCTTTGAACATCAGTATGTTCAGAGGAGCTCAGGATGGAGCTGCCACAGTGAGGGTCTACGGTCATCTGTGGAAAACAGTGGAGGCCCAGTCGTGGTTTGGGTTTCAAAGCCTCTGATTGGACAGTGATCCCAAAGATGCTACCAATGCAGTAACAGCATATCAAGGTAGAAAACACAGAGCAGAACATTATCAGTAATAGACTGGCCTGGTCCAGATCTCAAAATCATCGAATCAGTGTGAAATCATCTTGATAGAAACGCTTTGAACGTCCTTCAGGAAGCCTCGAAAACTATTCCTGGAGACGACTTGGAGAAATTACAAGAAAGCTGCCAGAGTTCAGTCCGTGTTGGAGAATAACTGCAGCCATCCCCACAATGATTTACCATTTTCCATTGTAGCCGTATGAAACAGATAAATTGTAAATAAAATAGTAGACAGGTAGAACAAGTGTGTGCACAGAGTTCACGGCCTGCAGTAAAACACAAACAGCAGAGAGATCCAAACGAGCAGAGTGAGCGACTCCTGAATAAACAAAGCAAACCAAAAAGCTTCAGCTTATAACCTCTGCACTTATCACGGCTCATTAACGTGTCACTAATGACCCACTGAGCTGTGTAAAGACACTTTTTGTCTGCTGGCATTCAGGCTGCAGTCTGCTGACGTTAGTGCTGATGCTTTCCACAGATTTGTAACGTTTAAAATCATTACATGGAAAATGATGTGAAAAGCATTTTACAGAATGTAAAGAATAATTCTGCACATCTTTATTTATTGTACAAATTAGACCAATTAGACCACTGCCTAGAAAAATTGTGAAATGATGGACATTAGGCTCAGCTCAGCACACATCTCATCTTTTACGTCTGGATTCATGTTTGTTTTTGAGAAGGCAGTCTGAGCAGACATCCTGCTGAACCTGTGGGCTCAGCTGTGCTCTGCTCGTTTTGTTGTTGATCATTTCTGACATCACAATTATACAGATGCAGCACTGAGGGCTGTGTGCATCGTGCAAGAAAACGGCCAATCAGATTCCCAGGCTGTGCGTTGATAAGCATGACTGCACTGACTCAAGAATATCCAACACCTTCAGGATGAACATGAAAATCAGTTGTAGTCCTAATTGCTCACGTAATGTTCCTGAAATGATTTCATGTGATACACTTTCTAATTGTTTTATATGTTTTATGTTATATTTACTATTAGTTAAAGGCCTCGAAATACAGTATAAAGATGACATTTTGCCAGAGATCCACAGTTACACAGCCTGACCTCAGCGGTCTGCTTCATTAGTCTGGCCATAAATGTCTTTAAGATAAATAGATTAAAACAACTAAAGCTTGCTTTCCCGTGTTTTTCACATGCTGTCACAGCGCTGATGCACTGAAGCAACAGTGTGATTTTACTCCCCTCTGCTGGTCTTACACCTGGACACTGAAAATGCAGCCAATTTAAAAAAAGTGATTTACTGTAACATTTAAATTCAGTGTTCAGAGATGCGCTGCGTCACACTGTTGCCTCACAGAAGGCCTTCAGGTCAAGCCAGTTGGTTTTTCTGTGTGGAGTTTCATATGTACTCGATGTGCCTGGTCGTGGGTGTATTGTGCAGAGAGAGAAGGATCAGACAATCCCACTTCACAATGACGGGTTGGAGGAATTCCTTTTTGACTGGGAGACAGTAGACAAAAGAAGACACGACATGCAGCACTGGCATATAAAGGCAATGGTACTGAAATGAGGTTAGTGGGGGGAAAATACTCGGTGCATCATGGGAAGTCTCGCACAGCCTGAGCCTCAGCCTGTGGGAGACCAAACTGCTGGGATATACACCTACAGGGGGATATAGTACCATAACAGTGGCTACGTCCACACTGGCCCGGATACAGACAAAAACGGCATTGTCGTCTGAAAACGCTCCGCGTCCACACTAGTGTTTTCAGTCGTTTTCACAGAGGTGTGCGTCCACATTGAAACGGCCAGAAAACGCTTATGTTCCAGTCCTGCGCATGCGTGAAACGCAAGAAGATTCGACCTGCCTCATGTCTGTCTGCCGCTTATTTACTTTCCCGCTCTTCGAAACGTGGCGGCAAAATGTGGAGGAAAAGCACTGAGTTTTTTAAATGGACTCACAATGAGGTGGAGTTGTTGCTGCGAGTAACACAAAAGTACAAAGTTGCAAAAGCGAGTGAGAATTAAAGAATGTGAAGAAAAGCTCTCTGGAGCATCTACAGACTGATGTTAATCTTTAATAGTGCTGTCAGACAAAACAGCTGCTGTATAACGCCCTCCGCTATCTTTGTTTAATTGGTCACATGACTGCATCACATGACTAACATGCGTCTCCGTCTCCGAAAGTCTCCGTTTTCACTGTCCACACTGCAACGCCAAAGCACCGTCTTCAAATGTATTCGTTTTCGAGAGCGTTTTCCAAACGCTGCGTTTTCAGGGAAAACACCGTCTCAGTGTGGACGGGAGGCCGAAACGGAGAGAAAACGATGCGTTTTCATACAAAAATGTATTAAGCCTGTATCTGAATCAGCATATTAATCCCTGAGGAAAGTACGTGGTTACAGTTGCTCCAGACAGTAACAGACTGAACATTAAATAATACAATATATTACATAGTTACAAAATATAAGAAATAGCTCTAATACATACAAATAGTTCAATTATAAATATCAAGAATATTACAGAGATATATAAGAATGGCATTTCAATGAAATAACTTCCTGTGTCTCCAAAAGTTGATTCTGTTCATCTGGACGTTTTGTGGGAGAAACGTTTCGCCATCATCAGGTGACGTCTTCAGTCTCAGCTGACTGCAGGTTTCAACCTTATAAACAGGACATTTGCATAATGACTGAAACCAGCCCAGTGAAGGAACAATGGGCTGGGAGGTCAGTTCCTTAATCTTAATTATGCAAATTCTCATGACCATTGATCAACAACCACTGATCAATGTCCGTGAGTCGCATTCACAGAGAGTTGGTGAATGGCTGCAATCACAGCATTGTAAGATGGCGAAAGATGTACCCTTAGGCCCCTCCTCCATTCAGAGATGGTCTTTCCCTTTTCACGTAAATGGCCTCCTTGACTCCGCCCTCAAACCAGCGTTCCTCCCTGTCCAGGATGTGTACATGTGGTCTTCCTGTCAGGTAATCAACAATCCAGGACACGGATGTTTGGTCGTTTGTTCTGACACAAGCTGTTTACATTATATTTTAACCAGTTAATGAAAGAGGATCCAAAACCAAATTTGTGTAAAGTTGCAAATACAAATTTTCAGTTAACTCTGTCAAACGCTTTTTCTGCATCTAGAGACAATATTGTGGTTTTTACTGCATGAGTAGTCAATTAAATTAAGTAATCTACGTCTGTTTTTTGATGAGTGTCTGCCTTTTATGAAACCAGTTTGGTCAGGAGGAGCTTTGCAGATTATTTTGAGGTCTACATTAATAAGGGATATTGGACGATAGCTTGAGGGATATACAGTGTGTTGCTTATTCTTTCAGGGTCATATATTGTGTTCCCAGATGAATCTTTAACAGCACATATACTTGTTTTTTCTTTTTTTCTTTTTAGCTGGTTAGCCAGAAATCGACCGGATTTATTATCATGTTCAAAATTGAAGTTCATTTGAAGTCTTTGTACTAAGAACTGTTTTTATTAATGATTTCATTTAATTCTAGTTTTGTTTTGCATGTTTTGTTCAGTATTTCCTGATCTTGACATGTAGGCTTCTTGTAAATATTTGATGGTTTTTCTAGTAGGGCTGGGTATCGTCACTGACTTCTAGAATCGATTCGATTTCGATTCAACAGGTCCTGAATCGATTTGAACCACGATTCGATTCGGGGAAATTTTGCCTCAGACAGTCAGAAATATTATAATTCAGATCTGCATCAGTACATTTCCATATTTATATATCTATAAAAAGAAAACTGACACTTGCCAGACATTATCAAAGGTGTGAGCATCACAGCAGAGGCCTTTGTGTCAAAGTAGCTGAAGATAAAACACAGAAAAACATGAAGGCGACTTTCCTGGCCTGGGATTTATAAAAATATTCTGCAGTAGATCAAAAGCGAAAGAAAACCGTAAATCAACACATGAACATTACCTGATGTTGCTGAGGTGAAGAAGAGCAAAGTTTCAGAGGTTTTAGAGACACAGCTGAGCGTTTTGCAATTTTGTATAATTTTAAAAAGTTTAAATTTGTTCAGTATTGAACGGCAGAAATGAGGCTTTGTTTTCGGAAGTAAGTAAAAGGAAAAACAGCGTCCGCCGACAGGCTGTAAGAACGGTAGACTTGTGCATAACAAGCAAGCGAATAATGCAGAAAACAGATTTTTAGACGGGAAACTGTTCTTGAAGTACAGAGAGAGAGAGAGAGAGAGAGAGCTCTACACAAAGTGTGATTTTATCCTGGTGGAAGCAAAACAGTAAAAGTCACAGTGAATTCATGGTGATGTTTTTGTGAAGCATAGTTTGGATCTTCTTTTGCTGCTGGTTCGGTCAATGTTGTTTGGAGAGAGATAAACTAACAACTTCAGAATCAGTGCAAAAAGGGCGTAAACACAAAGCTCAACCCGCCGAAACATCAGAATCAGCGAGCTGTCGGCTTTCAGCCCCGATCGTTTCCGTGCCGTCAGGTGAGAAAGCCACATCTCACTGATTCTGATCCGTCGGCGGGTCGAGCTTTGTGTTTACGTCTTTGTGCAGCAGCCGTGTTCCTGCTCTCATTTACTGTTTTAGCTGTTTGGTGGTTGTTGAAGTTTGTGAGGTTTAACCTGAGATTCTGGCGTTTCAGGCAAAATAAATTTATATAAAAAAATCGATTCAGGATTTTAATGAATCGATATCACGCTATCCAAGCCAGAATCAATTTTAATCGATAAATCGATTATCAAAACCCACCCCTATTTTCTAGTTCCTGAATATTTTTGTTTTCTTCTTTCTTTTTATGTGATGGGAATGAAATTATTTTACTTCTCATCACAGCTTTTCCTGCTTCCCAGGAGGTTTCTTCCTGTTAAAAGGGAGTTTTTCCTTCCCACTGTCGCCAAACTACTTGCTCATAGGGGGTCACATGATTGTTGGGTTTCGCTCTGTATGTATTATTGTAGGGTCTACCTTACAATAACAAGCTCCTTGAGGCGACTGTTGTTGTGATTTGGTGCTGTATAAATAAAATTGAATTGAATTCCCAGAGGACAGATGCTGATGTTCCACACAGGTCATTATAGTCTAAATATAAAGTCCACTCTTTAAGCCTTCATCTTTGAGCAGTGATGTATTAAATCCCCAGTTTTTACGTGGTGTAGTATTCTTCTTATGTCTTAGTGTTAGAAATACAGGCTAGGGTGAATCTCAATGTCTAAGATGTCACTGAGCAGTGAGCTGCTGATGGGAAATAATCCAGATGAGAGTAGCAGGGATGGACATGTGAGAAGAAAGAAAATTCCTTAATGTCGAGGTGAAGGAGCACCACGCATCGCGAAGCCCAAAGTTGCTCATGGACTGTTGATTATATTTGTGGACTGCTGACAGCGCTGAGGTTCTGCTGTGTTTCTTCATTTAGTCCCAGGCTGAGATCACCCCCAAGAACAAGGCTGGAAGAATGAGGGATCATCAACATTTGGACCAATACATAACTTTTTTGTGAAGTATAGATTTTTTAATGATCTAATCATTAAATATATAAATATATTGTATTTTAAAAGGACTCCTCCGTGAATCACTCCTCGAACACTTTGCACTGGATTCTGCGATTGCAGGCTAAATTTCCAGTTGCTCCATGTTAGCTTTTATCTGTGTTTGTTCAAGGTCAAGAGCTAGCTTCTTGAACCTGAACATCCTTAAAACAAAATAACTCATAACTGACTTCAGGAGGCACAGACAGGTCCACTCCCCTCTCATTATACATGGAAAACAGGTGGATCTGTCTCCACCTTCAGGTTTCTGGGCACCAACATCTCAGTGGATCTCACCTGGACCCACACCTCCATCACCCTGGTGAAGAAGGCCAAGCAGCACGTCCTCCGTGTCCTCAGGAAGAACAACCTGCTGCTGCTGGCCTTCTACCGGAGCATGTGCTCTCCTACTAGCTGGGTGTGCCACAGCTGAGAACAGCTGCGCAGAGTGTAATTAACACTGACCAAAAGATTTATTGCCTGCCCTCTGCCACCCCTTGAGACCATCATCAGATCTTCCTGTCTCAGGAAAACCAGGGCCATCACAGGTGACCCCTCAGACCCCACTCAGCACCTGTCTGACCCGCTGGCCTCTGGTTGGCCCCTCACATCAATCACCTCCCACACCAACAGACTCAAAAACAGCTTCTTCCTGTGGGCCATTCAGGCTGCTAACAAACATTTTGTGCACTTTAGCGCCCTCCAATGGTCAATGTCAGAAATAACTGCAAGTGGTTCTGTTAGTCAAACTGTGCAACAGACGAGAAACTCTGTTTTCAAACAAGAAACTGATGCAAAGCATTTTCTTCATCGGTGCAAAGAGTGTCCACAAATAACAGATTCCTTCAGTCGTGTCATCGATAGCAGCATTATTAACATCTTCCCTATCCTCCTTGAAAATTCAGATGGAATTAGTTCTTTTTATTTTTTTACTTTTATTTTTTTACTATTTATGTACAAAACAAACAAACAAAGCAAAAAAACCCAAAGATTTTAACATATTTAAAGTATCTCAAGTCTTAGCAGTAAATCATGAATAAAACTCAGATACGCATCAACTAAATATTTTGCGTTTTTACCCCTGAAACACTATAAATAGATTCAGTTACAACAGGATAACTTAGAGTCAGTGATGTTCCAGT